GCTGAGTCAAATCTTTGACTTTCAGAGAGGGAAGTCCTACAAAAATTCCTCCAAAATGACATTCAAAGAATCTGCAACATGAGTTCAAAATAAACTAGAACACTGCTGAAATAAATGACTAATTTAGTTTGTAGAACAACAGCTAAAACTACTTTGGTTATAATCAGCAAGAACTTCTAAAACTGATAGTCAATGTGCAGGTATTTGTGTTTACTGTGCAAAAGAAAAAAGAGCAGCAGTGATACAGCTAAGAAGTCAAGACAGGTAAAGAAAACTAACTTACATCCACAGAATATCAAAAAGAAAAATGAATCAGATCATGAACAAGTTGTTGTTCATGTTTTGCACTCATAAGGAATATACAGCTCTGATGTGCAGCACCAGTATGCAAAATCGATGCACAAGCTAATGTGCTACCACGTAAGTTTCACATGTGTACAGATGATGTTAAAACAAACCTTTTTAAAGTACTCCACTACACACAGCCCACTTGGGGTGCAGTTACAGATAGCAAAAATGAAAACGCTTCAGGTGGCATTTAATGATGCATTCAGAGTCTTGCTTAAGCTCCCGAGATGGACAAGTGAAAGCCATACGTTTGTGACGAGTAATGTTCCCAACCTTCATGTTGTGCTGAGGAATTTTATGTACAGACGTGTCGATTATCTGATTAAAAAAAATAATTATAATGGCATTAACTGAGTGACACATGGTACTCCAGTGACATCTCTGTGTTCCTTTCTTCATATTTATTTTATCCTTATACTGATATGAACCTATGTGTCTGCAAGAAAGTAGAGTTGAATAAAACTATTCAATAATTTTAAAGAATCTTTTAGGACTTTAATTGGCTCTTTAGATAACTGACCACAGGTCAGCGTGTTAAGTGTCAGGACAAATTAAGTATGTTTGTTGTTCCAGATACAAGCTGGCTTTCCTCTTCATACTAAAAAGAAACACCACTTTTTAAATGTTTTTTGTGTTTTTGCTCACCCAAGTGATTTGTGCTTTAGTCCCCAAAGAGTGCCCATCAAGGAAATGAGCCCATCTATCCTTCCTCTGTCCACTGTGAAAAGACCAGCCCTGTCATGCAGTCCTGAGACAGGCTAGGCCGCAGCTCTGAACTCATTGGTCTTGGTGATCTCGGTGCCAAAGCTTCAAAGCCGCTACAAACCCGGCCATTGTGGGATTCAGATGGAGACTGAGCTAGCCTAGTGGACACTCCTGAATAGTGTGATGGGAACAAGTGAAGGGGAGGAGGAGGGGATGCGAGGACGAGGCAGAGGAAGAGCCACACAGAGGAGGACATTTTATCACAAATGTGTGATTTGAATAGCAATCGGCTAATGGCTAAAGCAGCTTGCAGGTGGAGGAGACCCTAAAGAGAGGAGATTTGAAAAAAATAAATAAATAGAGGGGAGAGGGAGGTGTAACCAAAGGGGGCGAAGTGTTCCAGAGACACTCTGACCCACTTTGATTTAACTATTGGCAGCGGGTGTCTAATTGGTCACATAACTAACAGGCAGCACAACCCAGACACAGAGAACACCTTTCAAACTGAGGCACACAATGAGGACACTTTCTTCATTTAAGGGCTGGAAGAAACCATTATTTTCCAATTTTTACAATTTATTAATTAATACTTTTGGCAATTAAATGTAAGGAAATCCAAAAAATTGCCCATAAAAATGCTTCACAGTCCAAGTTGACATTTTCAGATTGCTTGCTTTGTCCAATCAACAGTCTCAACGCCAAACATATTCAATGTACACTAATGTACACAGAAAATAAAGACATTCAGGAAGGTGGCACCAGCAAATGTTTTGACATGTATTCAATAAATCAATTATTCATCTATCTGGTGCTAAATTTTCTCAGCTCATATTACCAGCGTCTAATAACTACTGTCACAAGATTAAGTCCATATCCTATTCCTCTACTACATTTTTTTCTGCATTTTAGGTTTTCAATTAACGATTACTTTCATCATCCATTAATCTGTCTGAATTTGTCTTAATAAATCTCTGAATCATTTGGTCCATAAAATGTAAAATAAATCAGTGAAAAGTTTTCCAAAGCACAGATCTACAGAGAATATTCAGTTTTAACACAAGAAAAACTGGAAATTTTCACACCTGAGAAGTTGAAAGCAGTGATTCTGTTTGGCATTTTTAGCTTTAAAAACAAAACATTATTTTCTGTTGATTAAACTTTGAGCTGCATTACCACAGTCTAGGGCATAGTTGCTTGAAGTGCAACCTTCGAAAACATTTTGTCCAACTCCCTAAAATCAGGGCTGTACAGTATGACACATGTTGCAAGAGCAATGCAAAAATCAGTCTGTGCGATGAAAGAAATTACCGCTATACGCCCATACTGAACAGCTTCACGCTACGTGTGTGAAACAGAGCCGCTTGTTTGCTTGAGGCGAGGGTTTGTTTGTGTATGAGGTGAATCGATAGTACATCCCTTTTCTACATGGTAGTTTTAGTCTATAGTGCAACGGTGTGATGGCACCTTGATGTGCCTTGAGCCAACAGATGTGTTTATAAAAATGTAGTAGTGCTGTGTAGTAATAGTGCTGTGACATTACAGACATTTTATACCTTCACTGTTAAGAGAATCCAGTCTGCAGCATAGTTCATACACTTCACTGATAAACCAGAGAACTGTAGAGTAACATTGGACTTCATGATCAATCAAAGTCTCTCTCTCCTCACAAATATGTGTGTAGGCGTACTACACATGTAGCCTGTATCCCAGTAAGAAAGCAGAAACACTACAGTTTTAACACTATGTTTAAACGTTTTTTATAAATCAATGGTTTCAGAGTGTCTGGTTTTAGGACCCTCAGTACCTCTACTTCCTATGTCCATGCTATGTGCTTTAAAAAAAAAAATTACAATAAATAGAAATATAATATATATTTAAGAAAATGTCTGCATTTTCTCAACACAATATTCATTTGAAAGGTCATGGAAAATAACCTTTTACTTTTATGAAAAATTTCAACCTCTTGAGCAACGCGAGCATACAACCCTGTGCATGCAATATATGTTAATCAACAAAGGTCTGTTTCATTACTTTCACTTTCAATAGCTTACATCTAATACACTACTCAGTCGGCCCTTGTGTCAAACTGTGCCCCAAACGAGCCTCTGTCAGTTAAGAAATGACAACTTGTAGAAAGCTACTGGTTATAAATGCAACCAGTGGCAGCTCTCGAGTGTCACGGGAATTATGTTCTGTCATCAATGCTGTTATCTTAGGTTAGCGAACACTCTGCAGTTTAATGTGAAGGTGAGATGAAAAGACATCTTGTTTAATGCCGTCTCCCTAAATTGTCACTCAGTCATCAAAACTTTGAAAAGCCCTGAAGGGGTTTCAAATCTGCTGAAGTCAGTCTGATGAAACTTTGGTGAAATACCTTGAAATTCATCAGATGCATCCAGCTTTGATAATGACAAAGTGTGGGAAGACAGAAATGTGTTGCGTTGCTGAGTTCTGACTAAATCTGACTTTCAAAACAATGGTATAACTTGGGCATGCACATCCAATAAAACACACATGCACAGGGTTACAAAAGCTTGCCTGCAGGCTTATCTTGACCCTCCACTGGATACAAACACGCCACAGTTTGACTGTTCTTTTTTACACTCTCACTGCATTCATGCAACATTTATATACCTGTAAATAAAATAATCCCATTTTAGTTTAATAAGCTTTTGTGTAATGCACTTTTTCCTGCCCATTAAATGTGCCAACACAGCAGAGACTTGATAACTACACTGACATTTCAGCTGCCAGACACATGCTCACAATCCCAATCAGGAATAAGTCCAGGAGGAAGTGTACCACAGCGAAATGAGCCAGAAGACTTTGTGTTGCTCTGGTTCAACCAATCAAGGATCAATGAAATAAAAGTCGTTGGTTTTTTTTACAGTAACTCTGAGGTTTTCTTCTTCTCTCTCCTTGTTTGGAGACAATGTGAATCTTTTATATAGGGTGACATGATAACATGGACCCAGCCGAGCAATATAAATAATGTACAAACAGGTGTTAGAAATTTTCAAAAAGAGTCAGAAACACATTGTCTTCCCTTTTATCTTGTTTTGAATGGAGAACAAGCGCTTTGCAATCTACGTGTGTACATCTGAGAGTGTGTTTGACTGGCTGTAATCAATTTAAGGTGTAGGTTTAACCCCATGAGCCCATCTTAGATTGAAAACAGCATATAAAGAAGAGACCTCTGCAGATAATTCGGCTGCTTGTAAAAACCTCCTGAACAAAGAACACTGAAAGAAGTCTAACCAGGAGAAGTTTCAGCTGGTTGCAATCCACAATCCTCACTGCAAGATGTCACTTAATTCTACACACTGCTTCTTAAAGTACAGTACTTCAGTAAATGTACTTAGTTACATTCCACCGCTGGCTCTATGAGACCTGGTTCAGTTTGTTTGGCTCAGGCCTTTCACAACAAGCGCTGCTTTTCTGAGCCACCTTTATGAACCTCCCCTCTGGACCACATCCACATGGGCAAACAGACATGTAAGGTGGCTGGTTGGATAACTACAGACATGCACCCTCTCTTCACAGTGGTGGTGGACATTCCTCACCACACTGCAAAACCTGAACAGAGCCAAAAAGGCAAGAAGGGGTTTTTCAGACGGTCAACTGACGTCTCCAGGAAGCTGCGGGCAAAAACAACACAGCGAGGAGGAAACGAGCCAGCGGATCACTACTGGATGTTGTTTCTCTCTTTCTGTTGTGGTGTTTTTTCTGTGGCTGGTTACCACTCATGAGCTATCTGGCCGCACAGGAACAAAGAGTTTCCTTAGGACCACATCCTCAACCCCGACTTGTCACATGGTGTCTTTAAAGGACAGTATCATAAAAACTAACTGTATTTTAAGCAACACAAATGACAAGGCAGGGTAGCTATGATGTTAACAAGCATCAGTAGCATTGTGAGAGGCAACAAAGAGTTAAGATTTACTTACCTGGGCGTAGTCCCTCTCTACAGCTGCCCTCTTTTGGCTAAAAGTCCTGAAGAGAAGAAAAGAGGGACTGTGAATAACACCATCTTAAGAGGGGCAATATATCAAACAAAAACAAAAAAAATTATAGAGGTATAATCTTGTTGCATGTAAAGCAAAGGTCACATTATTCCAGTGAGGTAAGAAGTTAGTTTCTCCATTCATTACACTGATGATTTCACACCAGTCGTCCTTGGTTGAGTTGGGTTTCTCCTGCAGCCAAAAGTATTTTAAAGAGACAATCACCTTGTGCCATTAAGTAATCTGGGATTATGCCCAGATTTCAGGTGACAAAAGAGCAACTTCTGCTGCCTCCAGTGTTGGTATTGTCATCGGGACCCCTTGCATTTGGAGAACTGTTACACCCCTAATCACGACATTTCTGATCAAGATAACTACACTGGTATGGCCGAACTGTTGTCTGTGATAGTGGCTATCTTGTGTTTCGAAAAGCCAAAAAAGAAAGATAAACCGATTGACCAATCCTTCGTTTTTACAGTTCCACCTCGTAGCACCAATAAGAGTCCTCCTTTGCGTCACCATGTTTACAAAACAAGTTGTGAAGTTTGTTGGACTCAGTAAGAAAAATTATGAGGCGTCCCAGATGCGGCGTTACCTGCTGCCCACATTTCTGTTTCCGATGCCCCACGTGTTGAGCTATGATCAGGCTAATACTGTGCTGAACCAGACACTAGGGTGCTTTGCCACCTGTAGTTCAGTTCATTTGGAACAGACTAGAGCTCAACAATGCAGGAACATAATCTAATTTATTAGACTAATATTGTGACTGCGATTCAGTATCCATTTTTTTAAAGTTCAGACAGACTGGAAATGAAGGTAAAGAGAGGCAGTACAACATGCAACAAAGATCCCAACGCTGGAATCGGCATGTAGTGCAATTCCTTAGCTACCACAATGCTCCAACGCCCTTTTTAAAGGACTTAATGTGCCGAAGTACACAGAAAAGCTGCTAGTTTTTGATCAATCATGGAAAAAATTTCTGCACTACCAAACAGTAGTTAACCTTTTAAATTCATGCAAAGAATCTAATCTCTACTATCAAGAAGTCCTGTGGTTGGTCCATTTGCTTTCAGACCACAAACAAACAGAGCCAAAATCCTTCATTTCAAGCTGTCTCAGACTGGATTGGTTGTTTGATCCACAGAGGATGATTAACAGCTTATACACAAGCCCGAATGAACCGAAATAACCAAACTAAACAAGTTGGGTGTGAAAGCAGCACATTTTATGTTCATGTGTTACAGTGCTTACTGAGTTCCCATCTTTGATACAATCATATTTGTTTACAGTTTGTTCTTCTTTATGTCAAGCCAGCCCCCAAAACCAAACTTCCACTTCTCCATCTGTCAGCATAGAAAGTCCAGCTGTCTGTCTATGCTGATTGTTTGTATTTTCCCTGCCATTTCCCCTGTCTCCTCCTCGGCTGCCTCGCTCTTCCTGTGGTGAATAACGTGGATAATTCTAATGATACAGTCTGACAGCAGTCCTCTCTGAACTGAGCGTCTCAAGTCAGTGCTCGCACGCTGTTGTTTAATGCATTCAGGGGGTTATTTTGTGGAGCAATTTTGTAGTCTTTAGTCAGATTTACTGAGGCTTCTGCAGCTGAGGCACTTGCTTTTATTGCCTTTGATATGATGGGTTTCCCGCTGCATGCTCATAAAACGTTGATGCAAGAGCACTTTTTGATTCTTACAGACCAACAAAAAGTGTCCTGCTAATGTTTGAAATAGTCCAACATGGCTGGTTTCACAAATACATATACAAATCCTAAAATGTGCTGAGAAATGTGAGGTATGTCAGTAAATATTGTTTTTGCACTGGTGTTTCAGGCTTGATTTACAATAACAGTAACAAAGCTGACAATGATTTAAGCTAAATTTAAACAAAAGTCCCAGAAAAGAAGAGAGGTCAGCGCCCTGGGAAAGACTTGTCTGCCTCAAAATTATCATTAAGTCATTAAACATGTCGAGACTTGACTGCAATACTCCACCCCGACTCTAAACAATCTGGCTGACTTCCTGGGAGCTTCCCTCTCTTCTTTTAGCCTGCTCCCTTCCTCTTTCTCTGCATTTCCAAGGCTGACCCCCACGCTCACTTCCTGACATTTTCCCTAAACAGAGCCTTTGCTGACAAGCAGATGCCATTTCCAGTTTGCTGAATCATTTCTCGTCCGAGATCAGGGAGTGACCCCTGCGAGTTCTGTACCAGTCGAGTTTCACATTGTTTCTGGCAGACGAATGTTACTGAGCCTCCCACAGCGAACGATTCAGGCCAGTCAGAACATCTGGCAGCTCTCTATGACCTTAAGTTCCAGCTGTTTGGAGGTTCAGAGCTCTGCCACCAACCACAGACAGGAAGTGGGGAGCCAGTAGGCTGTCAACTCGACCCAACACTAAGGCTGAAAACACAACCACAACTCTTGGCTTTTCAACCTTTAAAATGCCTACGCATCTGAACACAGTGCTAAAGCTGCCTGTGTGTCTCTGTTTGTTTACTCAGCCTGATCCAAAAATCTTAAACACTAATGTACTTTAATCTTTGGATTTAAGTCGCTGTTGTTCAAATGGTGGAAAACCAAACTGTCAAACAATCACAGGACACAAGAACCAGACGAATATTAAATATTTACTTCTATAAAATGTATAAAATCAAAGGGCAAGAGACAGATAGCGTAGAATTTATCAATCCTGCATCTGTGTAAGAACACAAACTGTATTATGCTGTCAGAGGAAACACCAACTGCCTGGCTTTTAACTGGATGTATGGATAAGCAGGTCTAACCCTTTAATTAACTGTTATAGGATGTTTTAACGTACAGGCTGGAAATTATATTTGGAAACATTATTATATAAGAAAATTACATTTACATATACACAAAAGCAGACCGTTTTTTTGAATGGAGACAGTGGCTCCGACAGAGAGAGCTGGATTACGGGTTGTTTGCAGCCTTGATGTTGCTAGACTAGCAAGTTTTTTAAAAGTCTGTTTTTTAGCGTGTCCTTAAGTGTTACTCAGCGCTTTAAGTGTTTAGTTAGATAACTTAAACCTACGGGAGCTTCTGACGGCTCGTGTAAAATGTTCTGCTATCACTGCCACTGTCTCATGCGGCTACATCAATTCATGTTCTGCTTTAACAGTAGTAGTGGAAGCACTGTTATTGCATGTTTCGAGGATGAGGACTCTCGGTGAACCTCCAGGAAACTTTCCCAACACGATGAGTGTCAGTAGAAAGTGTTGGCAACTTAGGACACATCCATAGTAGTACTTTTGTATTTACAAGCATTTTAGCACCGTTTCTGAAGTAACCTCCGTCCATACTAACACCCCTAGAATGCCCATCAAATGACCGTTCACACACACTAGGCATGTGCGTGCCAGTGTAAACAGGAAGCAGATTGTGTACTCTGCAGTTGTGGCTCAATTACAGAAAATACTATGGAAATGACATAAAATAAGAACAGAGATTTTTGATTAAACTGGCGACGAGGTGTAACTGTTACTGGAAGTAACACGTGAGTATATGGCAGACAAGGCAGCGAGAGGAAGCCATGGTGATGAGAAAGGCGTAACGTTAACCACATAAGAAGAATGAAATCACAAAAGGTATGGAGACCTTGCTGGAATGTTTTGAAATTACACATCTTGACTAATAAGACCAGACTGGGAATCAAGCGAGAATTTATGTGTCACTGTTTCTGAAAGTCTCAGTTTTTGCCTGTCCAGATTACGGACTGTAAAAATAATGGACATAGCTAGTGTGCCATCACCCATTGGTCTGTGGACTCCTGTTTTGAAGCATTATGGCTATTGCCATCTTGGTTTTTTTGCAGCCAAAAGTGACCGTTTTTGGGCGACGGGCTGGTGCTGTGGAGGAGCGATGGATGGATCTGACTGAGAGGCTGAGGACACTATCAGCAACTCGCCCTTAATTATGCTTGACTTTAAGCCTTAAAAAAATTACAGATGACTTATTAAAAAAAAAAAAATCTGCCCCTGTACAGTTGCCATAAACGGATATATTAGCAACAGAGACCAAAACTGGCCACTATGAAAATTGGTTTCAATGCCCGGCGCACTCCCTGGAGGCCTGTTACTACCACCAAAGAAAAATAAGCTCACTACATATGCGCAGAATGTCTTCTTCTCTGGTATTCGACACATCACTAATATAGACTTTATCGCCACCTACTGGCCTGACATGTCTGAGCATTTGGAAGTTTTTTTGCGTTCTTGTGTGGAAAACAAAAGTCATGTGCACAGAATTTTTTGTCTGGGTCATCCCGTAATCAAGTGAATATAAAAAGGTACTCCGCAGTCCACCATGTCCACAGTTTGACCTCTGACTGCTCACCTCAGGTCTTCCAGGAGGTCACACTCTGTCTGGTGTTTGATGTGTAATCTGCTCATCTGCTCTGCGTGAGTGTGTTTCAGCTCCTGGGTGACCCGGACCTTCAGGGGAGAAGAAAAGATTAGTTTTTTAAAAATAATCTCAAGAGTTATGACAACTCCTTTTTTTCAGCTGTTAAAGACAAAGAGGATTTCTTCGCTTTGTTTAAACACCTTCCAGGATACTAACGACTCAAGAGGCAAGTGTTGATCCAGCTGAGCTCACAATTGGTGTTTGTGAAAATGAGCTGCTCTAATTATTGAGGTGAGAGTCAATCTCTCTGGGTTTCTAATTGGCTGTGAGATAAATTATAAAGTGCAGTGACCAGGTCTCATTATGGATAACTGAGAGTGATGTCAACAGGTTTTTTCCCCTCCTTATTTCAATTATGAGCCAGATTAAAATTCAATAATCACAAGTAAAATGGAGATATAAAAATTAACCACCAAGCAATGTGAGGCTTTAATTAACTTCTCTGCCACATATGACTGTAAACTTAATGAATGGTCATATGATAACAAGCAATTTAAAGGTCACTTTGTACTGGAATTTCCTAAAAACAAAGCAATAGATTAAGTAATGTGCAAATTAATTGATAATCACTGCTATAATGGCTAATCGAGCTTAAAGGATGAGGCTGGTGTTATTTTATATATTTCTAGTAACACAAATGTGCTACTCAGTGTCTCGAAACCTTCCGACTTCCCTCCTCTGTCTGAGGGACACAACCACAAGTCCATTTGTTCCTACTGAAGACAGAAATCTTTAAGAATGGGTCATGAACATATAGTTTAATTTAAACAGCTGGAAACTGTTTCTTTTTTTAATCAAACAAACAGGAAGAAACAGTACATTTGAAGGGCACTACTTTAAGTGGCAGATTAATCCACATTTAATGCGTTCGTGAGCATTTGGGAAAGCAGGATGGTGTATATGGGATAAAGTCAAAATAAACTACAGCGCGTGTTCGTGGTAATAAAGAAACATGTCACCCAGCGCAACAGTGTGGTCAATGAGTATTAGTCAGAGGTAAATGTGTTTATTCCTTTGAGAATGAAACAATTAGTCGGTCAATAATAAAATATCTGGTAAGTTTCATACTAAAAATGGCAAATGTTCACTAGTCATGCTTCTGAAATGTGAGACACTGCTTCTGTTTTGTCTGTTATGTGATAATAAATTTACATTTTTTTAGGTTTTAGACCATTGGTTGGATAAAACAATAAATTTGATGACATCAGATCAATGCTTTCTGGTGTTTTAAAGGCCAAACTACTAATCAGTCGAGAAAACATAATCAAAATTAATCAATAATGACAACAATCAACAGTTGCAGCAGCAGTTCTTTGATACCAGTATCAGAAATACCTGTCTAAAATGCTGGATTGGGTACCAGCGTGTGTGCAAGTCTGTGCACTGATCCCATACTGTGGAATTTATTAATACTTATTAATACATTAAACCTGTATAAAACATTAGCTTTCCTAGAAATTAATTCTTTGTTCCAAAAACAGCAGCCTATAACGCAACTTGCACTGTGCAGCCACAGGCAGCTACTGTTTTAAAGCGGCAAAAATATAACTGATTTCCAGTAAAAAGAGGAAGGTTAGCCGTTAGCAAAGTGTCTGAAATTTGGCATTATTTTACACTGGATAAAAGAAAGTTCTATATTCATTCTGTGTATGTGTCAGAGTTAGTATTGTACAGCTGTTACCTATTTATTCTTTTTTTTTTTTTAAAGCTGTGGTATTGAATTGGTACTCTGCATCAGCCAATAAGTGAGTTGAGGTGTCAGAATCGGTATCAGGAAGAAAAAACTGATACTAGAAGATCTCGCTTTAAGTGTCTTGAAGTACATGTTGTAGTGAGTACAAATAACACAGGGATTCAAAGCTTCACTGGTGCGAGTTTTAAGTCTGCTTCACAAAAATTCCAAATGATTCCCTGGTGCTGCAGAGCCAATAACACAAGATAGAACCAGACAGCTGACTGGTATTACTGGCCAACCAGTGAGTTGACTTACAGTATTACTTTCCCCAGAGATCCACTGACACCTGAAGTTGACCTATTCCGTGTGCACTTCATGGAAGAGTTGAAGTAATTAGTCGATTGAAATAAAAATACCCGGCAATGAATCAAAACATTATTCCTCTAGTGAAAGTGAAAAATATTCCTTAGTTTCGACTCCTCTATTGAAAGTATTTGGTGCATTTTTCTGGGAATATATTTGGGTTTTGGACAAAACAAGCAATTTACGATGTCATCTTTCATCATTAATTAATCAGACTAATAGATACTGAAAATAATGATTAGTTGCAGCCCTAAAATATAGCACTGGTGCTACAAGCAGGATATAAAACAAGCTCCTACCTGAATGCTTTTCTTTTAAACACATAATTTAACAGCCTAATGACACCTGGTCGACTTCACACATTTTTCCAAGTTCAGTTTATTTGGTGATTTTTATTCTTTTACTTCTACAGTGACTGTACAGCATTAAGTAGGTAATGAAAGTAAGCTCCACTCAATATCAAGGTGAGAGTGAGTCTCTATGGGCCTCTGATTTGCCATAAGATAAATTAGGAAGTACAGTGATCACATTTCTGATAACTGGGAGTGTTGTCAACAGGAAAACAGTTTTCTCTTCCTCATTTCAATTATAAATCAGATTTAAGTTCAATGATTGCAACTTTGCCATTGTATTTTAAACCGAGGTACATACTAAAATTATCTATCAATATATGAGCCAAGTTGGACTTCATAATATACTCAAGGAAGTTTTTTATATAACTTTTCCCATGACTGTCAGAACAAACTGATTTTACTTCACTGCAAATGGTAGGCAATCCAAATGTCCAAATATACAACATTATGATGCATAAAAATCTTAAATTCGTCACCATATCCTTGTTATTAAACAATAAAATAAGCTAAACCTGCATTAATTTGAGTCCATCTAACATCATTACAATTACAAAACGTACTGGAGTAGGATTGGTCAATGTTCTGTGCTGCTGGGCCATGTTATTGAAATATGATCCCACATGAACATTTTTTCGCACAGAGCCAGACTTTTGCTCAGATTTGCGTCTTTACGTCTATGTCTCTGTCTTAAACGCTTCAACACTAGTTGACTCACAAGCTAGGTAAGCTATTTTTACGTTCAGCTATAAACACATGACAATAGTTGTTTTTGTACTTTTCCACCAGACTTTTCTAGTACGAGAAAAAAAGTGCACCAAACTACTTAGAGAAAACTGTCAATTTACAGTTACACAGCCCTAAACGCAACTTAAATGACAGAGCATTTCTTAAGTTGTGACGTTTAAAATAAATGTGGATCTACTCTTAAAATCGGCTTAGACAGAAAACCCAAACTGCATTTCATTTGGATACAATCCTAACTTTTTTGCCATGATCTGGCTCCACTGTGTGAACCAAACTTGGTATTTACTTGAACTTAAGAGTTGCTTGGCGAATCACTTGAGCGCCGATGTAACACAACACCTCTGTAACGCTATTTCTTAAAATATGTGAGCCTGTTTTTAACGTCCACATGGAAAACTAGTTATTTTGATCCTTTTTTAAAGTATTTTGGCAGGACCGTTTCTCTCCAATCGAGAGGGAGCGGGTGCGTTAACGGGGCTATTCTCCTTAAAAATTGCGGCACATGGGACTTTCTAAAACAACTTTTTCTTAGCTCGCCGCTATATAAAGAAACACGAGAAGCTAATGAAACTTGCAAGACGACAAACTAGAGAATATTTTCAGGATAAAAAGGCAAGTTTCTCGTTTATGCCAGCCCACCAGCAACAAAGCGTACATTTCCAACCATTAAATATGCACCACTTCGTCGAGAACGTTTCCAGACAAGTAACGTTAGCTTCAACGGCTAAGTTACAACGGGAAAACTCACCTTTCTTGGTGGGGGTTGCATCCTTATTTCTTGACATAAAAACTACACAAAAGACAAAAGTTTGTCTGGGAAAAGTCTGTGCAAATGTTTCGAACAAATAATAACGGAAAAGGGTTATTTCAGCCTGGGTCAAGCGGCCATGGCGAGTCCAGTAAGTAGTGAGTTGAGTCCCGTTGAAAACACTGTGGCCCCAGGGAACAGAAAACATATAAGCGTCAAGCTAGCCGCAGTTAAGCTAGCCACTTCCTGTTACGTTTTCAAAATAAAATACTACTTCCGTTCACAGTCTTCAAAATAAAAGACCAGGACAAGCCACAAACAGGAAAACTGTGTTGCAGTGATGTGATGTATTACACGAAGTACAAGTACTGTATTTAAGTACAATTTTGAGGTAGTTGTACGTTACATGAGTATTTCCTTTTCATGCCACTGTCTACTTTTACTCTACTACATCAGTCCGTGGGCCAGACCACATTTCAGTATCACTCAAGGTGGCTGAACTTAGTAATAATTTATGAAAATGTCCATGTCTGTAGATGACATTTTGGTATGATAGACATTCCTGAGTGGCAGCTGTGTCACAGTAACCAGCTCATGAAGTGAACCACCCCCTAAAGTAATTGCAATTGTAGTTGCATTTTAGACGCTGGTGCATATCCTGGTTTAGGCTCATGGTTAGAACATTTTTCAATGTTTTATAATATTGTGTTTGGTGTTATTTTAAAGGGGACCTTCTTGGCTTTCATTCAAGCCCAATTGTGAATCTTTCTGACAAATATTTAGGTAACTGTAGCCCTTTAAACAGTCAATGATAAACATTTTTATCATAATTTTCACCTAAATCATATCTTTTCTTTAAGCCCTGTGGCATCTAGAAACATCAAAGACACACAATTTAGAAATTGGAATACTCACAGGACTCTAAGGATTCAGGAAATGCATATTATACCCATACTATTTCATTGTGAGACGTTATTGTGAGCCATCATGTGTTTTCAATCAATCGTTCAATCAATTAATGGAAAAAGTAATCAGCAGATTAATCCATAATAAAAAATAATCATTAGTTAATAATTCAACCAACTACAACAGTCAAGTCAAGCCTGATTTATTTATAGATATTGACCAAAGTGCTTCACAAAAACCACATGAATTATCAAATAAATATATAAGTCATAAATAGGAGAATATCAGTAAAAGTAGTAAGAGCATACCATATTTTACAAAAATGAGAAGCATAAAATGAAACACAGAAAATACACGTGTCAAGCAGTGTGGTCAGGTATGTCATCCTAAGGGGTATTAGTCCCGTGTATGTGTAATTAAGTACATGTATTATGGTATGTGTAGTGGTATGTCTATTGTAGTAGCTGTATTGTGTGATATGCTGTGATGTTTGTATTGTGTTATATGTACTGTAGTGTGTGGATTGTGATATATGTATTTTATTGTGCCTTCCATGTTTATAGTGTAGTGTGGTTGTGTGATGTTTTCAACTGTATATTTTTAATAACATATTAGGTCTACACGTAAAAGCCCAACTAGGGACAAGTGTTGAAAATTAGCAATTGCTATAAACTATCTGTGCAACACATCAGTCCCATACTCTGTGTTGGAACTATGTTAAATTGCATCGTCCCATCAAACAAATGAACACACCAAATTTATTCCTCAGTTTCTTTTAAATGTCCAAAATGCAATAAAGAAGACTGTAATAATTTCTCACAAATACAAAATATATGAAACCGTTATTATAGCTTAGTAATGAATTATCGTCTCAGATTTAATTGGTTGTACTTGGTATGACGGCAGCTAAGAAATGTATTCTACAACAATCAAAGTCTGATTCACTTCCTACACATCAGTAATGGCAGAACGAGCTCTAATCGAACTCTGCATATTGTGAAGGGGGAAATGTTCCCACAAAAACTGTAAATTAGCAGAGAAGTAAAAAGACGATAAAAGCATGGCATGAACCTGAACTAAGTATAAACTGGCAGATGGGGTTTATACTGAATGAAATTATGAAAGGGGGAAAAAAAAAATGCTCATGCTAAATTTACAGACTAGAATATGTGACTTTCTTTTAATTGAGTGAGCGTCTTCTCACATAAACCATCTTTGACAGTGAGCCCTCTAGTGGACATGTCCTCTACATACTTATATCAATGGTAAAATGACATTTAATATGCCATTGTTTCTAAAACTGGGCCCAGTCAGTGACCCTGACCCGTGGAACCCACTGGTTGTTACTGGTTGTGAACGTTAAATTGTTGTTACTGTACTTAGCGATACTGTAACTTGAAACACTCTCTGGCACAAGAATTTCCTGCAGGATAAATAAAGTTCTATTGAATTAAATTGAAAGTAGTATTTTTATTCACATTCATGTGATTCGCCATCTTAATTTTTTTGGTTCATACACCTGCAACTCACAACAGCCTGGATTCACAAACTTCTATTTGCTAAAGATCTGAATCAAACAACAGTTAACTGCATTAAGGATTTCATCTGTAGGTGTTGAGAGTAAAACATTTGACCAGTAGTTTGACTCACAATCCCATTTTGTCTCATGCTCTGGTTCATCAACCATAATCAACAAGTACAGTTAGTTATTTTATTTCCATGACGTTTTCTCTTCACCACAAATAGCTGAACATTTACTACAGAGAGTTAAGTGTTTATAAATGTACAAAAGTCATAATTACTAACATGTAATTAACTCATAACTAATGCTGCCAGGCTAAATTGTGTCTTGTTTAGTTATAGAAATCTTTGCTGCCTCCTGAACTGTATTATAATGACATTGTAATAAGATCAATACATTTTAAACTCTAAATTCAGTGTAGCTAAGTTCACTATCAATGCTAATATTTGCTTTAACTCAAGCTCCACTTTCATAAACTAATGTGTCTCAAACTGCTTCAATTCAAACCACAAAAGGAGGTAATTTCCCTCTTTTGCCTTTTTAAAACAATATGTGAAACCTGTGTAAAGCTCTGGCTCACAAGTCTGCCCACATTTCATTGTATGTGTTCCTCTAATTATGCCCAACTTCCTGCCAGCCTGCCTGTGATTGTGTTGGCATCCTGGTCTGGTTTATTCTCAAAGACAGATCAGAAATTAACAAGGGCCCAGTACAGCTAAAGCAGCATGCAAAACATCTGAATATAAACTTGTACAACTTCCTCTTGTTGATTCCGCAGCTATGTTTTACTGTCTCACTACTGTTTAAAAGTGGATGCATTTCTGCCAGATGATCACACATTTGAATGTAACTCCACAGATTAGAAAGGCAAATCATGACAGAGGGGGGGGGGGCAGTGTGTGCTGCAGGTGCTGTTTGGAATATTATAATGACCAGTGGAGGACATCATCTAAACAAATTGTAAACACGACTGGGAGTGTAGGGACAAAAAAATGAATTCTTGTAAAATATTTTTGCATGTGACTAAGTTTAATATATCGATAATATTACCCACCAAACACTGTGCGAACACTTGACAAACTAAAGAGCAACTAAAGCAAGATGTAGGAATGTGTTCATACTTGTTTGACTTTTGCAACAGCATTTCCCCCCCTCTTTTTCTTTGCAGTAAATTATATGGAAAAGGACAGAATGAACTCCAGCTGGCTTGTCCGCCCTCTGATTGGCTCCGTGCAGTCACATGACGAGCCACTGCCCCCAGACATGAACCAGCATCAAGTCTGCAGGAACATGACTACAGTTCCCTGAGCAGCTTTCAAAATAAATGCTTGCACCAGATTACATTTTTGAAAAAAATAAAATGAAGGTTATTTCTTAGAACATTTTTATATTATAAACACTCAACCAGTCTCCCATCCCACCATATATCTCCACGGCTAGAAAGATGATACAAAGAATATAGGAAATAAGCTGCAGTATATAGTAAGTAAGTTATGTACGTATACTGACAATGGGTTTAATCAGTTGAGATCAGTTCTTGGACATTCTCTCTCCAACAACTGACCTCTGTTATTTCTTCATCCAAGTCATCACCACGTCTCTTAGACCCCATCCCAACTAGGCTACTTAAGGAAGTCTTACCTTTAGTTAACACTCACATATTAGACATGATCTATGTATCTTTATTAACAGGCTATGTACCACAGTCTTTTAAGGTAGCTGTAATTAAACCTCTTTTAAGAGCACCCACCCTGGATCCAGAGGTGTTAGCCAACTATAGACCAATATCTAATCTTCTCTCTGTCTCTCTTTACGTATCATCTTGTCATATGGATCACTGCAAATTTATTATGTTGATCTGTTCTGAACGTCATCTATTGCACATCTGTCAGTCCTGGAATAGGGATCCCTCCTCAGTTGCTCTTCCTGAGGTTTCTACCATTTTATTTCCCCGTTAAAGGGTTGTTTGGGGGAGTTTTTCCTCATACACTGCGAGGGTCCTAAGGACAGAGGGATGTCGTATGCAGTAAAGCCCTCTGAGGCAAATTGTGATGTGTGATACTGGGCTTTATAAATAAAATTGATTGACATTGTCTGTTGTTGACATGGTCCAGGAACAGGCGCCATATTTTCAAGAAGAAGTCATAGCAAATTGCATAGTATTTGTCATTTGAGGCTCAACTTGTTCCTGTCACCAGCTATCAGCACATACAAGTTGCAACATACAGTATGTATATTGAGCTGTAAAATAACTTGAACATGCAAAATACAATAGAGGAAAGAAATGCTGGCAATGCTTTGCAAGTCTAGTTTTTTTTTCCTTGTCAATATTGTAATAGAAAAATACAACATATCAGACTTTGCCAGGAATAGAAAATTAAATTCCCGGACTTGTCTGCCAGTATTGTCCCTGGTATTACAGGCCACTGACTGTAATCAAGATTGAGACAGGCATGCAATATCTAATGTCGAGATACATTAAAATACAGGAGAAAATAAGAACTAAGAAGAAATCATTTTTGTCAGAACGGTTGTTTGAAGATAGCTTTGATTATTCTGCAATGAAAGAGTTTTTTGCCTGATGTCACCCGCAGGCCTCCAAAAGTGAAATATGCTATGAAACATTTCCTTTTCTTACAGAAAAGTAAAGCTCTTTATACATACTTACTTTTACCAAATCTTCCGGTGCCTTTGTAAGGATCTATTTTTTAAATATCTCTTGATCGTTGTGAATGATTAAAATTGGGCTAATTATGAATATCGCATTTAGCA